GTCTCCAGCCATTATTAGTCTCAAAGTGGGTTCCTCGTCATCGAATTTAACCATGCTATCTTTAATAGGGAACTGATATCCAATCTTATCTTTTAATCAAATACATCTAATCCCGACATATAACATTGAATGTAAAATAGAAATAAATTAATTTATCGTGATTTATTTATTAACTATAACTTGTAGTATACATCACATAATAAAATATACTAGTTGTAATCGTTATAATTAATTGGTTGTATCTTTCATCCTCCTGTGATGAAAAACGTGAATACTCGAGAGGAATAAATGAAGACTTTACTAAGATTGGGCGATAATTCGGACACCAAGTGCATAGTACACTATTTTGAAATACTCTGGGTGACTATTGAAAATTACTCCCTGTTCAAACCCTTTCTCTTACAGTAAGTTTCCGTATGTTAACTTGGACTCTCAAAAGGATACACAAACACTTTTGCATCTTAAATCAGTTTAACTACAAAAATATTATTGTGATAGCTTGTAATGTTCGTTATGAAATAGTTATGCAAAAGAAGTCTGAAATGTCTAACAAGTAAAAAGGACAAATCTGAGAAAGAGAAGGTAAAGGTTGTGAGTAATGCTTAATGCCAAACTTATTTTACGAGAATGACTTTGAAAGAATATTAAGCAAAATGAAAGATCTGACGTTAAAGCATTAAACAGTCCTTTTAAGATGGGATTTAACAATATTTAATGCCACAACTAGTGCTGCTATAATAGGAAAGCTAGCCGAAACGTGCCTATAATATGATGCAAAGCTTCATACCTTATTCTCGTTTATAGGTTCTGCTTGCAAGTGATGTTGAAGTTTTCACTTAAGCTTAAAACATCCGGCCAAACACAATAATATCGCTAACATATAATATATATATACTCTTTGCAATTGCAAATTATGCAACATAAGTTCGATCAGTTGCTCAAAAAAACTGCTGGCAGAATTGCATGACCCAATACTCATAGAAACCTTCATCAATTATTTTATAATATTGATCGATCTTCATTAACTAGAGG